CAAATGCCAGGAGCCAGAGATGCAGTGCTATGTGCCATGGAGATTTTGGGCAGTACAGGTGCCCCTGTAAACTGGGGAGAGGCCACTGTCACATAGGCAGCCCTCCAGGAGTGTCTAAGCTATGCTGGGACCTCTGCAGCACCTGGAGCAGTTCAGAATTAGGAGGATGCAAATGTGACTTAAAGTCACCTTAGGGCTGGTCCACACTGGGGCGGGGGATCGATATAGGAAACGCAACTTCAGCTACGAGAATAGCGTAGCTGAAGTCGACGTTTCCTATATCGAACTAAAAGTACCTACTTCGGGTCCACGCGGCGCAGGCAGGCTCCCCCATCGACAGCGCTTCCTCCTCTCGGTGAGCAGGAGTTCCGCAGTCGACGGGGGAGCGCTTCTGGGATCGATCTATCGCGTCCAGATGAGACGCGATAAATCGATCCCAAAAGATCGAACTCTACCCGCCGAATTAGGTGGGTAGTGTGGACCAGCCCTTAGGAACCTCCCACAACTCCCTAGGCAGAGTACAGACTCTCCCCTCTACAAACTAAGGCCTTACGTATATGACAAAAGGCAGCAGATGGATACAAACAGATATGGGAAAAACAGAGAGAGAAAAATACATACAAACAAAAATAAAATAATAAAAAAGTCTCTCCCATTCACACCTCTTTATGTACAAAGAAAAATATCTGGGGAAAACCTTATCAATATATCTTTAATTTTACCCCTGTCTTTATTTCAGAGCTCATATCTGAGATATTCTTCATGATAAAATAGAGAAAAAAGCTATTATCTAAATAAGGACCAATGCAAATGGATAAATAGGACTTGTGCTTCTAAGATAGGTTCATTTGCAAATCACTCCCTACAATAAACTTAAGAAGGCTAATTCAGAAAAAAAATGTTGCTATTTATTCATAATATTCATCATAGTAAATCCCAAAGGGATGTGGTCTCTTTGCAAATCAAGTGCCAACTGCATCAATTTCTGGCATAGAGCTTAAAGTGATTGGGTTATATATTTAGTTTATATCCACCAAAGCATTTGAGGCCCATGTGATTGCCAGCTGTGTAGCTATGTAACACTGACAGATCCCGGTCATCGGTGGGTGGGATCGAACCTGGAGCTAAATGCATGAGCTAAAAGCCACATGGCTCTTAGCTAAGGCTGTAGAGCAGACTCATTAATCTCTCTCTCTCTCTCTCTCTCTAAGGCCTGGTCTACACTACGAGTTTAGGTCGACTTTAGCCGCGTTAAATCGACTTAAGCCTGGACACGTTTACACTACGAAGCCCTTTCTTTCGACTTAAAGGGCCCTTTAAACCGGTTTCCTAACACCACCTCGACAAGGGGATTAGCGATAAAATCGGCCTTAGGGGGTCGGAATTGGGTTAGTGTGGACGGAATTCGACATTACTGGCCTCCAGGAGCTATCCCACAGTGCTTCATTGTGACCGCTCTGGACAGCACTCTCATCTCAGATGCACTGGCCAGGTAGACAGGAAAAGCCCCGCGAACGTTTGAATTTCATTTCCTGTTTGCTCAGCGTGGCGAGCACAGGTGACCATGCAGAGCTCATCAGCACAGGTAACCATGATGGAGTCCCAGTCCCAGTCCCAGGATCGCAGAAGAGCTCCAGCCTGGACCGAGCGGGAGGTACGGGATCTGATCGCCATCTGGGGAGATGAAGCAGTGCTCGCCGAACTCCGAAACAGTAAAAGAAACGGCAAAACATTAGAAAAGATCTCCAAGGCCATGAAGGACAGAGGCCATAACAGGGACGCACAGCAGTGCCGCGTGAAAATTAAGGAGCTAAGGCAAGCCTACCACAAAGTCAGAGACGCAAACGGAAGGTCCGGGGCTGAGCCGCAAACATGCCGCTACTACGCGGAGCTGCATGCCATTCTAGGGGGTGCAGCCACCACTAGCCCAAGCGTGTGCTATGAGTCCCTCTCTGGAAACAGGGAAGCGGGTTCGGCGGACGAGGAAGATGAGGATGGAGAGAACATAGATAGCTCACAGCAGCAAGGAAGCGGAGAAACCAGTTACCCCAACAGCCAGGATATGTTTGTCACCCTGGACCTGGAACCAGTAACCCCCGAACTCACCCAAGACCCTGAGGGCACACAGGGGACCTCTGGTGAGTGTACCTTTGTAAATATTACACATGGTTTAAAAACAAGCGTGTTTAATGATTAATGATTAATTTGCCCTGGCAATCGCGGCCAGTACAGCTACTGGAAAAGTCTGTTAACGTGTATGGGGATGGAGCGGAAATCCTCCAGGGACATCTCCAGAAAGCTCTCCTGCATGTACTCCCAAAGCCTTTGCAAAAGGTTTCTGGGGAGGGCTGCCTTATCCCGTCCGCCATGGTAGGACACTTTACCACGCCAGGCCAGTAGCACGTAGTCTGGAATCATTGCATAACAAAGCATGGCAGCGTATGGTCCCGGTGTTTGCTGGCATGCAGACAACATCCATTCTTTATCGCTCTTTGTTATCCTCAGGAGAGTGATATCATTCACGGTCACCTGGTTGAAATGGGGCAATTTTATTAAGGGGACATTCAGAGGTGCCCCTTCCTGCTCTGCTGAACAGAAATATTCCCCGCTGTTAACCACGCGGTGGGGGGGAGGGGTGAAGTGACCATCCCAGAGAATTGGGTGCGTGGGGTAGGGGAGTTAGTTGGGTTTGTGCTGCATGTTAAACCTGAAATCGCAGCCCCTCCTTTTACATTGGAAACCCATTTTAAATGGCCAACCAAACGGTGCTTGGTATGGGAAATGAGGGCAGTACTGTTTGAAACCATCCCCACATGTTAAGAAGGTTAAAAAAGCCCAAAGACTGTATGTCTTACCATGGCTGCCTGCAAGCTGAAATCTGTGTCCTGGCACTGCGTGAGTGATCTCTCACACCAAACCAGGAGACTCTCAATATAAGAGGAAAAATGCGACCTTGTAACGAAAGCACATGTGCTGTGTGATGTTGTGAACAGCAAAATCTAACGTGAAAGAGTCTACCCATTGTTCTCTAAAATGTATCTTTTTTAACAACCTCTCCCTTCTCCACCAGCTGCAAATCTTACTCCTTCGCAGAGGCTAGTGAATATTCGAAGAAGGAAGCGAAGGACGCGTGACGAAATGTTTACTGAACTACAGACTGCCTCCCACGCTGACAGAGCACAGCAGAATGCGTGGAGGCAGTCAATGACTGATTTTAAAAAAGGCCAATATGAGCGAGAGGAGAGGTGGCGTGCTGAATCGCGGGCTGAAGAGGAGAAGTTGCGTGCTCAAGAGGAGAAGTTGCGTGCTGAAACGCGGGCTGAAGAGGAGAGGTGGCGTCAACTTGTACTCAGAAAGCAAGAGTCGATGCTCCGGCTGCTGGAGCATCAAAGTGATATGCTCCTGCGTATGGTTGAGCTGCAGGAAAGGCAGCAGGAGCAGAGACCGCCGCTACAGCCCCTCTGTAACCAACAGCCCTCCTCCCCAAGTCCCATTGCCTCGTCACCCAGACGCCCAAGAACACGGTGGGGGGGCCTCCGGCCACCCAATCACTCCAGCCTAGATGATTTCCAGTGCAATAAGTTTTAAAGTTCACTGTGTCTTTTTCCTTCCCTCCTCCCCCACCCATCCAGGCCTACCTTTGCAATTATCCCCCTAGTTGTGTGCTGAATTAATAAAGAATGCATGAATGTGAAGTAACAATGACTTTATTGCCTCTGCAAGTGGTGCTCGAAGGGGGGAGGGTAGTAGGGGAGGGTGGGGTGGTTGGTTTGCAGGGAAGTAGAGTTAACCGGGTGGTGGGGAAGGGGCGGAGGGTTCATCAAGGAGAAACAAACAGAAGTTTCACTCCGTAGCCTGGCCAGTCACAAAACTGGTTTTCAACGCTTCTCTGATGCGCACCGCGCCCTGCTGTGCTCCTCTAACCGCCCTGGTGTCTGGCTGCGCGTAATCAGCGGCCAGGCGATTTGCCTCTACCTCCCACCCCGCCATAAATGTCTCCCCCTTACTTTCACAGATATTGTGGAGCGCACAGCAAGCAGCAATAACAATGGGGATATTCTTTTCACTAAGGTCTGAGCGAGTCAGTAAGCTGCGCCAGCGCGCTTTTAAACGGCCAAATGCACATTCCACCACCATTCGGCACTTGCTCAGCCTGTAGTTGAACAGGTCCTGACTACTGTCCAGGCTGCCTGTGTACGGCTTCATGAGCCATGGCATTAAGGGGTAGGCTGGGTCCCCAAGGATAACGATAGGCATTTCAACATCCCCAATGGTTATTTTCTGGTCCGGGAAGAAAGTCCCTTCCTCCAGCTTTCGAAACAGAAGAGACTGCCTGAAGACGCGAGCATCATGTACCCTTCCCGGCCAGCCCACGTTGATGTCGGTGAAACGTCCCTTGTGATCCACCAGGGCTTGCAGCAGCATTGAAAAGTACCCCTTGCGGTTTATGTATTCGGTGGCTTGGTGCTCCGGTGCCAAGATAGGGATATGGGTTCCGTCTATCGCCCCACCACAGTTTGGGAATCCCATTGCAGCAAAGCCATCCACTATGGTCTGCACGTTTCCCAGAGTCACTACCCTTGATATCACCAGGTCTCTCATTGCCCTGGCAACTTGGATCACAGCAGCCCCCACAGTAGATTTGCCCACTCCAAATTGATTCCCGACTGACCGGTAGATGTCTGGCGTTGCAAGCTTCCACAGGGCTATCGCCACTCGCTTCTCCACTGTGAGGGCTGCTCTCATCCTGGTATTCTGGCGCTTCAGGGCAGGGGAAAGCAAGTCACAAAGTTCCATGAAAGTGCCCTTACGCATGCGAAAGTTTCGCAGCCACTGGGCATCGTCCCAGACCTGCAACACGATGCGGTCCCACCAGTCTGTGCTTGTTTCCCGGGCCCAGAATCGGCGGTCCACGGCATGAACCTGCCCCAGTAACACCATGATTTCCACATTGCTGGGGCCTGTGCCTTGTGAGAGGTCCATGTCAATTTCCTCATCACTATCGTCGCCGCGCTGCAATCGCCTCCTCCTCAGCTGGTCCTGGTTTGGCTTTGGCATGTCCAGGAGGCTCTGCATATACTCCAGGACAATGCGCGTGGTGTTCATAGTGCTCATAATTGCCGCGGTGATCTGAGCGGGCTCCATGATCCCAGTGCTGGCTATGGCGTCTGGTCTGAAAAAAGGCGCGAAAGTAGTATCTGACGGACCAGGGGAAGAAGGGAGCGAGGAAGAGAGGGAGGGAGGGAGGGGCGAGTGACGACATGGCGTACAGGTACAGGGAATTAAAATCAAGAAAGGTGGCTTTGCATCAGGGAGAAACACAAACAACTGTCACACAGAATGCCCCCCCCAAAGATTGAACTCAAAAGCCTGGGTTTAGCAGGAGGGAGGGGGGAAGCAAATGAATGCAGAATAAATCTATTTTTTACATCTTAAGACGACGGTGCAGCATGACTGATAGCCCTTGCCATTTTCTGGGTGCTTGGCAGCAAATACTGGGCGCTTGGCAGTAAGCCTTCAGGTCTATTGCACCATCTGATTCCCACTGCAATATGACAATGATGGATACCAATCGTAATATGCTATCTACTGCCCAAAAGGCAAGGGGTTGCTGCTGTGTAGCAATCTAGCCCCACGTCTGCCAGCCCCATGTCTGCCAGCACCCAGATCGCCATCGGCCTCTTCTGGGTGCTTAGCAGACAATACTGGGCACTTGGCAGAAAATAGCATGCTACGACTCTGCTAACGTGCAATGATCCAACAGGGCGCCTGGCAGAAAATAGCATACTACGACTGATAACCATCATTGTCTGCCCGGGTGCCCATGATTGACAGCCACTGCAGTACGACGACGACGGATACCAGTCGTAATAAACCATCTTCTACCAAAAGGCAAGGGGCTGGTGCAATGCAGCCCCACGGCTGCCAGCACCCAGATCGCCAATGAAGGCTACCAGTCATGCTGCACCGTCTACCGCCAAAAGGCAGTAAGCTGCTGCTGCTGTTTAGCAATGCAGTCCCACGTTTGCCGGCACCCGGAAGACATATGGTGACGGTGAGCTGAGCTGAGCGGGCTCAATGCTTGGCGTGGTATGTTGTCTGCACAGGTAACCCAGGTAAAAAGGCGCGAATCTATTGTCTGCCGTTGCTGTGACGGCGGGGGAGGGGCCTGACGCAATGTACCCAGAACCCCTCGCGGCACTGCTTTGCATCATTCGGGCATTGCGATCTCAACCCATAATTCCAATGGGCGCCGGAGACTCCGGGAACTGTGGGATAGGTACCATAGTGCAATGCGCCGGAAGTCGACGCTAGCCTTGGTACTGTGGACGCAGTCCGCCGACTTCATGCACTTAGAGCATTTTATGTGGGGACACACACAATCGGCTGCATACAACCGGTTTCTATAAAACCGGCTTCTATAAATCCGACCTAATTTTGTAGTGTAGACATACCCTAAATGGTCTCAGTGCCACTAGATGGGGCAGAATACCACACCCAGGAGGTGTGTGGGTTACTTACTTCTCCTAGCTGAAGAAGCGCAGCCCAAGCTTCAGAGATTTCTCAGTTGAAATCCCGGACGAGCCCCCACTTGTAACGCTGACAGACTCCGGTCGTCGGCAGGCGGGATTGAACCTGGGACCTACTGCATGAACTAAGCCATATGGCTAAATTTGCAGAGCAGACTCATTAATCTCTCTCTCTCTAAGTGATCTCAGTACCACTAGATGGGACAGAACACCACACCCAGAAGGTGTGTGGGTTACAGCAGCATTCCTTGGTACACATGCTTCAGAATTTGTTGGTCTTCCGTTGTAACAATACGTCTATACCAAGAAAGCCACCAAAATTGAACCAGTGCTGATAAAGGTGATTGCTGGGTTTGGCTTAGAACAGCCTCATTTTTTATCTTGTCCTGTCAGTTGATATGGAGCAGCTGAAGAAGCCAACAAGAATCTAAAATGTCAATCTGGTGTTCTTCAGCCTTCCTTAATGCCCATGTTTCACTTATGTTCAATAGCACTGGTTTAACTGGGGTTCTATAATTTCCCATTTCCCAGCAAGCTTGATGTCCCAATGTCTCCACAGAGACTGCTGATGGGCTGAAACATTTGTCATTTACTTGGATTCCATTTTTACTGTATTTGTAATACCTAAAGACGGTACTCTCTTTCTGTAGAACTTCTGGTACCGAATGCTGGTGTTATGAAAGCATGCTAAATTTACACACTTTTGGAATGGTGCAACTTAGATAAATACTAATGATGCTATTTGATATTAAAAGGCCCTGGTCTCTATTTCTCTCTACACTGCTGTACAAAAAGAAGCAGAAATACAGTAAAAGGTTTGTCGTGGCTTCTTGAGGACTGAAATAGTTTGGGCTTTGATTTTGTTAGAAGCTCGCATTGTACCACAATGAAACAACTGGAATGAGCATTAAGTGTCAGTGAATAATGCCGGTGTCTCTTTTATTGGGAGTGGAAATTTTTTTGATCCTTTTCTTGATCCATTTGAGGCTTCTTTCTGGCAAATAGATTAAGACATAGCTCTCCACAAAGGCAGGAACTTTCCAAGTGGTAAGGTAAGTTCTTAAATAACAATAGACCTGAAATAAACAATATCAGACAAACAGCAAGTTGCCATACAACAACTTTGTAAGTCTTCAGCCTTTCTCATTTATTCAAATAGTGAGCTGGGTTTTTTTTTGCATCTTAATCTACTTCCCAGCAGGAAGAAACTGAACCACAGAAATGGAACATAACATAGATTATTCAGTCTTTCCCCCCTCACCCACCATCAATTGAAGTGTGCTCTTTAATGTACACTTATCAGTTTAAATCCAGTTTAAGTTTTTAAAATTTGTACTTTATTTATTTAGATTTTTTTCAATTGTGTCTACTGAATTCTCTACATGCACTAAAAAGATTACATGCTGAATTAATAATCAAAATGTATCAATACGATAGTAGAAAAATAGACCTCCCAAAAAATCTGCCCAACCCCAGAATTAATTCCACCACATCATTCATCAATTCCCTAAGCAATCCTAAACCTCTGAAAAGTCTGGGGAGACAAATGGATCTCACTGCATGTACTGAGGTCACTACATCTGGACTGTGGTGGACTAGGAGGGCAGGAAAGGGAAAAATAAATTTCAAATCAGAAGACTCTTCACACCAAGAATGACCTGCTCCCAGGCCACTCCAATTTAAACCAGGAGATACTTTAGCTCAAAATATTCAGATGATCAGAACTGCTGCTTTATCACGGAGAGAAAGAAAGGCAGTTTCTCAAGTAGCTAGGACTCAAAACCTTTAGGACTTCATATGTCAAATTAACACTGCAGTCATCACCTAAGCACACATCACACTGAGAGCTTACAGCCTCAGGAGTCAAAAGCCTGCATGGATGGTGTCTTTAAAGAATGCACTCTGTGTGAAATTCTATTTAATAGGCAAAGTGCCACAGTCTGTAGTAGCTGCAGTTTCCAAACGGTGTGAGGATGTAGCCCTATTAAACAATGCAGTAAATGTACTTTTTGAGATGACAAAGTCACAGACAGCCTTGATGAGGTCCATACCTCTTCCCCATTAAAAAAAAAGAGGCAACCTTCTTATGAAGTGCAATTGTTAAAAGCATGCTTGGCAGACTACTCGGAAGTAGCTGGATATCCAACAGTTACCCTAGATTATAAACCCAAGCAAGAAACGGTGAGCATAAACCTTCACTCAGCATGCCAATATATTTTTTGCCATTTTCCCCAGTTTCTTCCATCTTGTAAGTATTACCTCAGGGCCACCTGGGTTGAGTCTGTAGAAAGAACTGCTTAAATATGTGTCACCTGGTCACCCTCTTCTAGCAATACCCCATATGCTTTATCTCTACTAATTAGATATGAAATCTTAATTGAAATACTGCTAGCAGTTCATAATTAAACAATATTTTCAGGACAAACACAAACACTGTAGAAGAGAGCAAACCTCCAGTTCATCACAAAATTCTTATACTCTAGACTCAGTTTTCCACAGCACAAGTAAAATTTTACATAACCAATAAGAAATAAGATTATCATTAACATTTACATACATTTCACACACAAAAATTAACACATCAACACATTGCAAACGCAAATAATCCTAACACAAGTGAACTGGGGAAAAACAGAGACACTATATTAAGTCTCTATTTCACTGCATTTTAACTTTTTTGACTGATGCTGAAAACATCTGTTCAATGTGCAGTGGCAGCCAAAAATGCTAACAGAATGTTAGGAAAGGGATAGATGATGAGACAGAAAATATCATAATGACACTATATAAATCCCTGGAAATACTTCTTCACACGACAGTCAACCTGTGGAACTCGTTGTCAGGGGATATTGTGAAAGCCAAAAGTATAACTGGGTTAAAAAAAGAATTAGATAAGTTCATGGAGGACAGGTCCATCAATGGCTATTAGCCAACATGGTCAGGGACACAACCCCATGCTCTGGGTGACCCTAAACCTCTGACTGCCAGAACTTGGACTCAATAATTGGCTTGTTCTGTTCATTCCTTCTGAAGCATCTGGAACAGAAGACAGATGGACTAGATGGACAATTGTCCTGACACATTATGGTAATTCTTATGTTCTTCTGTCTATTCCTGTAACATTAAATGACAGCACATGGTCAAGTGTTCAAGGGCTACATAAATGGCCTCAATACAGAGGTATTTCTCAGTATCTAGTCTCCTTTTAATTTCAGAATCCATCTTGTTGTTGCTTCTCTTATCTTGTCTAGCAATTTCATAGCATTATTTTGTCTTTATATGTTTAAAAGTGTTCACTACAGGTAATGTAAAGATTGTTTGGTACCAAACTGCCTCTGCCATTCCCTCTTCCCAAGCAGACCTGTACCATGGTTGAGTCCTTTATTTTACTCTCTCTGATTTATTTGGAGAGATCTGGAAAGAAACGTAAACTGGATCGTCCTCCTTCCCCCAAACAGTTTGCTTCATTTTACCATTCTGTGCTTAAAATTCTTTCCCAGGCTTTTACCTCTGACAAAATTATGTAAGGTATCTCCATCTTCCATCTGCACAATATTACAGAGGGAAGAAATATTTCTATGTACAACAAATCCTCATAAATCTAAATAAAAAGACACAGCTAGTCACTTTTCATCAGAGCCAAGACAATCTGGATTCCCTACCTTTAGGACTCTCTAGAATCCTAAAGATATGGGGTCTAATCAGATTTTCTAAATGTTCTAAACAGTGTTCTATAACAAAATGTTATAAAGACACTACAAAAGTTTCCCAATTACTTAGAAATCTAGGTCCCTAATTATTTGTAAGAGATCCTATTCCAGCTAAAATATGTGCTGCAAAACTATTACTGGACTATTCAAGATCATAAAAAGGTAAATAAAATGCACTTTCTGGTTAAATGTACAGAAGGCTAGTTGCATAATATGGGCTACTCATATCTGGAAGATTAGGAATTATAACATTAGGTCAAGTGAAATAATTCTTAAAAGACAAACCTACTATTATCATGGAAGTAAAATACAGGCTGTTGTACTACAGATTTTTATGTTTTACCTTTTGAGAACTGTTGACATTTTGAAACCTCATTGAAATTTATATCATAATCTGAAACAGACTAGAAATTTCATAATAAACTCAACACTGATGTAACAATAAACTTTTTAGGATTTCCTTTGTACTCACCAAGGGCTCTGCCATGATGATGCGAATTTTGCGCTCAGCCTGAGTCGTAAAGTTAACAAATAAGCTCTTCAGGACATATTCGCCTGGTTTACTGTCTGGGTCAACATTGATGGGCAACATGGCTGGAGGTCCCTTTTCCCTTTGTGTGCCAGAAACAGGTGGAACTGGTGGTTTGATGTATCCGTTACCAACTGGAGAGGCTGAAATGTACAAGAAATATGTTTACTTTTGGCAACACCTGCATGTTTTAGTTTTCTAAGACTATTCCAGTTTCTTATCAGTCATACAAAGCAACAGATTAGATAATACTTAGTCCTGCTCTGAGTGCACTAGATGACCTCTCAAAGTCCCTTCCTGTTCTATGATTCTATGATCATCAGGCCAACATACTATGTACAAATAAATATTGAAAGTGTGCACTTGTTGAACAAAAATGTGAAAATTTATACTAGGTTCTGTGGTCTATACATGATCTAGATTGTCACAAGAAACTGTAGATGACATCTTATATCTTATGACTGGGTACAGTTTACTTTTCATGTTCCACTCTGTACTGTCTTTTACATGATGAGACTTGCCATCACTCAGCACTCTTAATAACGCTCCAGTTTCTCATCACCTTATCTTCCATGCAAGATCACTATTGCTCAATTGTCAACTATTCTCTTTATTGTTATTCAAAATGCTCAACTCCCACAGACGTCAGGAGTATAACTCTTTGTGTGTGTTAAAAACAGAATATAGAGCACCTGATTTTCCTCTCACTTATAAATCAGGAGTAAGTCCAGTGAGTTTCACCAGTATAAACGATATGCAAAAAGAGTCAGGCCCCAAATATTTTCTCTGATACTGAACATCTATTATTTTATCAGTTTACCTGAAAGGACAAAACACTGTTGTTTTATTAACATTATTTATCAACCTCATAAGCATGATGACAATGTGCATTGTATTTAGCTCTGCTTCTGTTTCTTATAACAAACCTGAAGAGAAATAAAAGCAAATGCCAATACTGTTTTTCTATTCATGAGAACCCTAAACTTAAATTCCCAAACTTATGCCAGAAGAGACTTAGTCCTCTATACGGAAAAAGTGACATGTTTGATCATGTGGTGTGATGCTGGCTGCATCCCCTGCTGTTCACTTTCCAGTTGGTATAAGAAGTGGTATTATGAGCAGCTCTCGATGGAGAAGATCACCTGCCACTCCTGCTGCAATTCATGTGTCAGAATACCTTTGAGCAGCTGTGGGGGCAGACAGATTAAAAAATGATAAAATGTACAAGGCTGATGCTTCCCAATCTTGCTACAATCATAAGAGAAAAACACCAAAAAGCACATGCATCACTTTTGTGTGCATCTTACCAGGTTAGAAAAAAATGAGAACTGCAAGTACAGAGGTAGATTTTTCAGATACCCAGTGATGGATACCGCACATCTAAGATTAGAATCTGGCTCTTAGCATTTTATACCATATGCTCTTCTGGGACAAATTTGGTATCTTCTCCTGAAAGTTATTTTCAAATATTAACCATCTGAGTTTACCATAAAAATAGATGATATTTTATATGCTTAACATCCTGTTTCTACAAGCTGCTAAGCATCTTCAACTCCCAATAATTTCAATGGCATTTGAGGATGCACTGGACCTGGCAGGCTGTGCTCAGAACCTTGCAGAATTAGGCCCAACATGTTTGCACTGAAAATGATGGAAACTGCATTGCAGAACAGAGAACATTTTAAAAAGACCATTATATAATGTATATGCTAGACCGAAGTAAATTTACTGTTCTGTGTATGACGGAATAGCCATTACTCTTAACAGGTGTCAAATATCCAATCCATATTGCTGTGCAGTGGGAATAAGCCTCTTAATTAACAAGATATGAGATCACATACAGCTCTAGTAAAGCTATCACCAATTATTTTTTCCATCTAGCTTAACTTTCCATAAAGCTTACATTGATTATTGACTGTTAAAACATAATAATAATGATAATTAAGCTATGCTGGGGATGTGATATTGTGCATATAACAAATCATAAATAGAGCACTTCTACATTTTTGATACAAAATTGTTTCTAAAAAAGGAGTGCCTCATTTACTTCAGCTATTCTAAACAACAACAAACTTCATAGTGTATTAAGAAGAGAACAATTAGCAAAGAGTATAACTACAAATTCCTCTCCCATCATCATTTATGATGGTATTATGAGGTATTGTGAAGAATAATGGGATGCAACTGAAAAAGGGAAAATTTATATTCAATATCAAATCTATTAGATGATGGAAGTATCTCCCAAGATACGTATAGAACCTCTGTCACTTGAGTCCTTTAGCAATGGATGAAACACTTTTAGTAAAGCTCTTTTCTGCAAAGAGATTATGTAAAATAGCATTGGGGTTCCAGGTTTATTGTGGCAATTTCTGACATTACACTTGTTTAGTTTACAAGTAAAATGATCATTTTCTAACTGCCAGGTTCACATATTCAATCTCAGGACTGAAAGACAACATCACCACCAGGGCTGGCTCCAGTGTTTTTGCCGCCCCAGGCGGCGGCGAAAAAAAAAAAAAAAGCCGCGATCGGCAGCAGCTCTACCGCTGCCGCTTCATTATTTGGCGGCAATTCGGCAGCGGGTCCTTCCCACTGAGAGGGACTGTGGGACCCGCCACCGAAGAGCCGGACGTGCCGCCCCTTGCCGTTGGCCACCCCAAGCACCTGCTTGCTGCGCTGGTGCCTGGAGCCAGCCCTGATCACCACCATTAAGAAGATTTGACAACTCAAATTCTATCCTAATTTATACCTGTGCAACTATTGTATGCAATTTCTGCCTTTTGTTGCATCTGTGTGGCATATTGTGTCAAATATTGGCATAGTAAAAGAGTAAAAAAATGTGACCTGGCAATTGGAACTTCATTGGCAACTCTGCTGCTGATCTGTGAGCCAGAACGGAACCCATAGTGTTGGCTCTCTAATGCTGATCTTAGTAAAATAAGTAAGAACTCACATTTGTCACTACAGTCAACAGACGGTACTGTTTACACAAGGGAGCGGAACTGCACAGTTACTTTTCACTGTAGAAACATACTTTAAGAATATATTGTAGGGGCAAGTTTTGCACTTGCAGAAGGACACACAAAATGGAGCAAGAACTTTTTACTACTAATTACTATGGTCAAAATTTTCAAAGCTGGTTGCCTGTTAGCATCTTAAAAATATATTTAGGTTCCTAAATTAAGGAGGCCTGATTTTCATAAGTGCTGAATAAATGCAAACATCCAGTTTTAAAAATTTTGTCTTCTGATTTGTAAGAAACACTGAAAGACATTTGCACCCTGTACACTATGTAGTAAGTTTTGAAGTATCTATATATGCAAAGAAAAAACTGTCTTACATACAAAAAATCAAGAGAATATAAAGGTTGCAAAGCCAAGCACTCAACATTTAGGAAATGCCAGAATTAAGGTTGCCAGTGTAACCTTAATGTGATCCCCTTGCACTTATGCAGGATGATATAGTCACTAATTACATGACTACATACTATCCTACTAAGATACTATGATGACAGCATCATAGAAAATCCCATGGGAAATTAATGCTGTAGTAGGTACAGGATTTGGATGGTATGCAGTAAATACTGCAAAGGGACACACAATAAATGACAAGGATAAATCAAAATGTTTAATTAGCATTCAGTGAGCACCCTCCATCCTATGCACAGCATAGGGTATAGTCCTGTGGAAAAAATAGTATGTGATCACATAACTTTAGATTGTATTAAAAAGCATAAACACCAGGGGGCTGATTGTAGGTTGCATGGGCTACCTTAATTTTGACATTTCCTAACTTTTGAGTGCTTAACTTTGCAAACTTAATGTTTAACATATTTTTTTTGTTTTTTATTTTTCACACACAGATGCACACATGCACACACACAGAAAACACCTGCCCCTGAAAATCTGTACAAGATATCACCCTTATCAGATCATCTCAAAAATATCTCCAACATTTCAAATGCAATTCTAGTCTAATTTTGCTAGAGAATCACCCCCATTAAGCAACCAGTTTTGCTTGGTACCTTGAGTTATTGCTTAAATTCTATCATACCTGCAACCAATGGTACCCAGAAACATTAATCCTTCCCTATAGAACACTTTCACTTAGACCAGGTTATAACAGCATAGCATTTTCTTTAAATGTAAGAAAGAAATATGATAGACATTGCAATGAAATATCCACATATCCTTCTGACACTATGCCATTACTGAAAACTGGATAACTGCATTAAAATGTATGTTATATCACTGTTAATTCTTTTCATGTTGTAAATAATTTGCTTTTCTGATGTGATAAACAATTACTATAGTAAGAGTTCTGAGAAAGTACAGTAGTTTTAATACATACATATGCAGTAAGCTGATGAAAAACGAGGAGTACAAAACTAAATTATGCCATTTCCTCTGTACTTCTTGTACATTATATTACAGAAACTTTTCTTCAAACTCAAAGATCAAGCAAAACAACAAAAAAATCAATCTAGTATGTGCAAGTTAAAAACTTGCAACAGAGTGGGTACAATTTTAGCAAAACAGTGTTAGTGACTTTTCATTATCTTTAACAGGAAAAAGAATACATTATTTTCTTTAACTTAAGAGTGCCAAATTTTGAATCTAACACCATGCAGGCTAATGAAACACACTAAAACACAAAGTCCCAATGTTTTTATACCTACCAAGCTCCTTTATAAAACTGATCACACTGAATCTTCTCCAACAGGCTACTGTAATATCCATGAGCCTGAAAATAACTGAGAAGTTCCAATTCTCAAAACTGTTTTCTTACTAAAATTGAGAAAGAAATTACTTGTTTCATAATCCTGTTTCACACTTTCACTATATGTCTTTCTTCAACATCAAGGCAAGCATTTCATTTAGGTTTTTTGTTGTTGGTGGGTTGTTGTTTTTTTAAAATAGGCAAGTGCTGAAGTTAGAGCAGGCCTCCCGATCGGATCAGGCTTTCCATAACCAAAGGGGTAATTTTTAGCTTCAGCATATGATGATGACCTACAACTTGCAGAGTGGCTGCATGTCTATATTTATCCAAAAGTACATACTATACTGACAGATTAGTGAAACTACTTCAAGCACTCCAAGAACACGAGACTGGCTAATGCAGTTCGGCATAAACAAACCATGTA